ATGCTGAAGTAATTTGCCAACTAAATGCCATTATGCACCAATGTATTTTCCAGTTAGCCGTGGAACGGCATCTCTCCAAAGAGGCCCTGTGACCGTTGGTGTGCAGAGCTGTAAGAATCCACTTTACTTAGAAGCAATACCACCATGTTTATCTTCAAATTCACTTCATACGAAAATCAGTAGGGCCCAAAGAGATGCAAGGTATACGGAGGAGGACTGGTGCTGCGCATCACTCTCCCTGCTGCCCATCCCAGGTGATTTGCTTCCAGGTGTGAGTCAAGTGCAGCGCCTGTCCTTAGATGAGCCGCTGACTAGTTAGAACTGAATGATGTAGTCTGGGAGTAGGGACGAGGCACCTGGAGGTAAATGCTCTGATGCTGCTCACCTGCTCCTGCTCAAGTCAGGGCTGCCAAATTGTTTGTATGAGTCTGCCTTGAGTACTGTGAAGAACAGGATCCCTGAGTTCCAGTGACAACAGTAATTAATAATTTAAATCCTTCATATCTCTCAGAACTCTTTGATCTTCTGTTTTTCAGCCCTAATAAATGTCAGTATTATGAAGTGTCTTTAATCCACTGGTCTCTTCTAAAATCAAGGTAACTTTTGTTTAGGGTGGAGATTAAAACATGGTAGTGGGAGTCAAAAGGAGAAATTGAGGGACCGTGTTAGTCCCTTGACTATTTGCACCACAGGGCCTTAGCAGGACTGCACTTGATTTTTGTAAACTAGAAATGTAAGTCCTTTTCAGTAAGAGAAATCTAATATAAGCCATGTTTACACTGACCTGTCTTTTATGATAACGATTAAAAGAAGTGTTTCCCTCAATGTGGAATTAGTTACTTGTTGGTAGAATAATCAGAGGTGACTAAACCTACAGTGAATTTGCCTGTCAGGTTTCTTCAAAGGAAAATTCTGGCAGAGCCTGGTTTCATTAGGCCGCCATAGTCTGTTTGGGGGGGGCTTTAGGTACCTGTTTGTTACATTAATATCACTGCAGAGTAGATCTAATTAGATCTAATTAGGCTTTGATGATCAAACTTTGAACTTTTCATGTAAATGAATATTTAACCATTGAGAGTTACTTTTCTTCATAAGAATTAGCTTCTTGGAACGTGTATCATGTTCCCAAGCTTAGCACTTGCTCGAGTTATGAACTCAGCCTTAACTCCAGCCAGTGGTAAAACTCTGTATTAAATAAACAGATTGAAATCAGAGTGGCAGATTTTATGTTAATTGACTCTTTTAAATGTGTTATATTTAGAACATTTATTGCATCTAAATATAACTGAAGAACTCAAGAAAATAGTGTTATTGTACTCTTTTGTTCTCTATGTGGCATCCTCAGCATTATCCCCAGTGAAGCCAATTAAGTCATCAGTTACTTTATATTCATCAGTATTATATGTTCTTAATGATGCATTAAAGCATTAAATAATTTCTGATCTTCCCTACTTTCTCATAAATGGTCATTTTTATAAATGTATTTATTTTGGTAATGCTGATATGTGCTGTTTTAGAAAAGGCAGAATGACACATTAGCATTTTTTGTAATAGCTGGCTTATTTGCGTTTTTTATAATATACAGAATTTTACTATATGCCACATAAAACAACTTGGACTCCTTTTTCTTTTGCATACATTGCATATAAAATCAGAAATGTATTAGAAGAGACTATGTAACATTCAAATGCTGCATTTCCATAAGGTGGAAAACTGTCCATCAGTTGCTGGTGGTTTGCCTGGAGTAAAGTAGCTTTGTGTGATAATTAGAATGGCTTCAGGATTTCTGTCTCTGAAGATTTTTTGGATGAGAGGGGGAAAGAGAGAGCAAGTCAGTTTAGGAAGGAGGATGGCTTGTAAGTTAGAAAATAGGAATTTTCTAAGCAGTATTGTCCTTAATAGAAACTAATAAGGCAGTTGACAGGATGGACATAAGATGATAAGTTAAATCCCTGACCCAGTTGAATGTATTGTTTTCAGAAGCTGTGAAATTGTTTACTTTGGACAGTGAGCAAGAGAGTTGATTTAATGAATCCTAGATGTTAAAAGGCACAGCAGCATTGCCTTTTCACTGTCTCAAAGGCTGTCTGCCTGTCATTTTTTCTACGGGTATTTGAAAATAATGAAAATACTGAGTATGCTTTGAAAGTTGTGGAAGACAAATGTGAAGTAATATCTGGGAGGAATTCTGCTAAGCTTATCTGATCACTGCTGAAGGCTGCAAAGACAAGTTCTGATAGGTTGCAGAAGTAATTTTCTCCAGGTCTCTCTTTTTCAGTGCTGTTTCTAAGGAAATTGCCACATTATTTTGGCATATCATCACAAGGTTCAGGGCATAATTTCATGACAGCTGGCTTGATCCCGTGGCTTGCTGCGTCTCAAGAGGTGGTCCCAGTTCTTCTCATGTATTTTCTCGTGGTTTGCGCTTTTAAAATGTGAAGAATGCCTTTATCGTTTTTAAAATATGATTTAGTCCTTTTGGAGAAGCCAGTCTTCCCATATATAAGCGTCCTAAGTAGTCTCACTGTAGGATCTAGCAGGATTGAGAGCAAATACAAGACACCAGCAGGAGTGTGTGGCAGGGATTTAGCAGGAGCAAGACAATTCCCTAAGGTAGCCCTTAGCTCATCCTCATCATCTAACTGCGTCCTGAGATTGCATCAGTGGGAGAGTAGTTAAAGGATGTGAATACACACACCTATCTCTTTTAATTGATGATGCTTTGTAATTTCTCACATCTCCAGATTTACATGCTCCTGTTTATAGAAAATGAGCTGAAAAAGAAAGGTTTTAACAACTGGGTAGGAAATGAGATTAAGGAGGCTATTTTATTCTGGAAGTTATAGATTGATATATTGTAGATAAATAATACTAACGAGGAGAATGAAATCCCAGAGGAACACTACTTGAGATTAGTTTGATCATTTTGATAGTACGAAGAGTGGCCATGATCTCTATCGAGATGATGACAGGTACTAGTGACAAAGTGCCGGTGATAACTAAAGAGCACAGCCCACCTACTGTGTTTAATTGTGAATTCTTTGAAATGAGTTCCATACTATTGCTGTTTGTGTTATTTATTGCTCTTAACGAATCAATGGAATGTAGAACTTCAGATTAAAAAGAACATAGTCAACACAATGCTGCATGCTATTTGCCTGTCTCTCTGGCAAGAGACTCCACATCCCTGTTTCCGTAGATCTGCTCGTTTTCCTCTTTGATCTGCTTTTTTCTGCGTTCTGTGTTCTAGTGTTCTGCGTTGCCTTCTCTGTATGCAGTATCTGTCCAGTTCTTGATCTGCAAAATGATCTTGCTGTTCTTATTTAAATTCCTCCTGCACAATTATTTCATCTATTGTAAAATAATCAAGTTAGCTGGGTGTCTAACTTATATGTATGTGATAGGGTAGGGTGGTGTATTGATGGAAGAATTGAAAACTACACGTGTATATGAACTGCATGTCTGTCATCTACTTCTGGTTTTATTATGGTTTATTCTCCTCTCTGTGCATGACACATGAAGTTACCTGGGGCAAGGCTTATTTTTTTCTGATGCCAGAAGTCCTGTTTAAATCTAAACAAAAATACATGTAAGACAATTATAAGGAGAAATCCAGATAATCCAGTTGGTTTAAGCTGATAATTATCTTTCAATAGTGACTACCAGCCTGAGCCTTGAACTGGTGCCAGTCTGAAGTATTATGAATAGTTGGAAGGTGATGAGTTATCTTTTGATATCCAAGATTTCTTAAGTTGCTCAGAGTCATTATGCAATGCTGTGTATAGGACTAATGAGATTCTGGCAATTGTAAAAGAAGAATAATCAGAAGAAACAGACAGTAGCCATCCTGTCACTGAAGTCATCTAACTGAAAAAATTAAAAGCCCGAGGGAGAAGATTAATTCAGACTTGGTAGGTGTCTGTAGTATCTTGCTTAGAAAAATGAATACATCTTTGAGGGTGCAGTACAATAAGGGATTTTCTCCATGACTACAGGAGTGTGAAAGCTCCAGTGCCTCCTTGGGCTTTGTGGCTGTAAAGGCTAATTTTGCTTTTAAAGAAAGAAATTGCAATAACAACAACAACAATAACATTTTTTTTTAAACTGTATTATGTCTTTTCGGTGATCTATCCTCACCATTGCATGTCATACCTGGGGACTCAGTTAGTTTCAGAGTATGAGTTTGTTCTTGAGGAGGGTAATGAATACCAGTTTTTATCTTTAATTCAGTTTTTGTGAGATTTAATTTTGATAAACTGAACCAACTGGATTTTTTTTTTTTTTTGCAAGGCTTTGAATGAATGTGATTCATGTGTGGAGAAATTTTGAATGCTAGAAGTGAAACCATCCAAATAGATTTTCAACTAGAGTGACCTGTTGTGAAGTTTGGTCCCTTGGAGCACAAAATATTTTTTATCTTGCAAATGAGAGTCATTAGAATCTGAAAGTAGCCTGGACCATGTAGTCAGGACTGTACCTTAGGAACAATCCTGCCCTAATGGGAAATGGCCAGAATGACCTACAAAAATATTTCCTGTCTCAAACTTCCATAGCTTTGTGAGGGCAGTAATTATGGGTGTGATGCAGTGGGAAGGAGACATCAGAATAGATATGGATGTACTGCAAGTGGGGTTATTGATGAAAACCATATGCCTGTTCTTTGAACAATTTGATCAAATAAAGGACAGATACTTTAAAGTCATATTTTACAATGTGATACTTCTTAACAAAGCTTCAGTTTAGTGCTGTGATAGAAAGGAAACAGACTGACTCACAGAAAACTGAGATCATTTCTTGGGTTGCATCTGAGTGTGAAAATATAAAGTTGACATTATGGAAGCTATGAAGTGTTTCTTACAGTGCTATAAATGAATCACTGGCATTGACAGGAAGAAATTGAATAAGAACATGACGGGAAACAAGTACTATTATGAGAAATAATGTTTCTGGTTTAATTTTGGTTTTTTATTTCTCCTTCCCTTTCCCTATTTCCCTTTCAGGGTAAATGGAAAGCTGGTGGCACTGAAGGTGATTAGATTACAAGAAGAGGAAGGAACCCCATTTACTGCTATCAGGGAAGGTATGTGCTCACATTTAATGATTATACATGAGGGGTTTTTGTAATTACATTGCAATTCTTATTTCTGTGCCATGCTGTAGTGAGTAGCTTGAGAATTCAAATTATATAGTTATGTTCTCAGTAGGAGGAAACTTTGGGGCTTCAAAAACAAAGCTTCTGGTGTGGGAGTTCATGTCAAAGAATGCAGCTCTGTCTCTGCTTGGCTCCTGTTAGATTTATTATACAAATGACTACTGAAGAGCACGTTTTAAGGTGGATGTGAGAAGTCACTCTGGATGATGAGGGAACTGTGTAAGTCGCACTTCTTGCCTGCAGGCAGCACCTAAGATGAAGGTAGATGTAATTTTTCATATACACGCAGCATGAAGCAAAGAAAAGCATTTCTTGATGTAGGCAATCAGAAGATCAGGGAGCAAAACCACAGGCATCTTAGAAGCTGTGTGTAGTTTGGGACTAGCTTTTGTTTGTTTTTCCTTCCCCATGGACTCTGACTTGCGTGGCTTGGGAATGACTTATCTAGCACACTTGGAGACGCCTGTCATGCTTTCTGCTCTGCTCCTTTGTCCTTCCTTGTCAGCCTCTCGTGGTCTCTAGTGACGGCTGCTTTGTCTGAGCCTGCCTGTGTTGACGTCCTTTGCAGAAATGGCTGGATGTGCCTTCTCTGCGTGGGCCTGCTTTGGTAGAAGGTACTAAAAATGAGCCTCGGTAGAGAACTAATAAACAATTTACCATCACACCACTGATTCAGACTCAGCTGAAGTTGGTAGTGAACTAAAGAGATGAGGCTGTCGCAGCTTTTAAGGGACCTTTTAAAATTGTGCGATTACAGCATAAATCCCGAGGGGGGTGAGACAGGGAGGTACCAGAACATCAGCCCTCGCAGGGTCCACAGCGTGGGAGGTGCGAGGTTTCGTGGTCATTGCAGCCGCAATCCCAGCAGCTGCAGCTCCCTTGTTCCTGCAGCCATCTGTACACCATGGCCATCTGTACAATGAGCCTATTTTGGGGTAGACTGGGCAAAAAAAAATCCATGTTCCATGTGATTGACACCTTGAAATTAGAAACATTTAAAGTACTGTGGATTTCCATCCCAAGGTTGTGCATTTTAATGGGAGGGCTCTTTCCCAAAGGATGGAAAACTGTGGGTGGCCAATTTATGAAGGAATTTCAGGAGTTCTTCTGTACTGTTTTGTTTGAGTAATAATTGTTGAATGATCTGACACATTTATTCACGACGATATATATTTTATCTGTGAGCTGTCTGTCCCTGCAGCTGTGCCGAGATAACGAGGTGTTCAGAGGATTACGAGCGCAGCTTTCAATATTTTTAATGCTGAGTTCAAGGTGTAACAGCCTGTGTTTCAAATATGTTTATTGTTCTCCAGGTTTTTGGGTGATATGGTACTGACTTAATAAGAAGATAGTAGATACAGCTTTCTCGCGCCTTTTTAGTGACACTTAAAAGGTTTTTTAATGTGATCTTGGTCTAGATGAAAGTTTATAGCGTTATAACTGTCAAATACAGTATAATGTGTTTTCCTTCATAAATAGTTCGTTGTGTGAACTCAGTATAAATAGGTATTCATTAGGAGCAAGAACAGAGATTTTTCCACTTAATTTTTTTAAAAATTATAAAGGCACACTTGCATGAAAATACTTTTCGCACTGTCATTGGAGCAGTTTGCCTTTTAGCCATGACTATAGCACTGTGGTTGAAGCCAGTTAAAATTCTGGTACTTTTTAATATGAGTAGAATAAAGCTCTTGTCTAGAAAAGCTCTTAAAGTTATTAATATATATTTTCTTAAGTATGTGGTGTCTCACTAATTTTGATGGGACTATATGCATCCATTGTATTTCTAAGTACTCATCTAGGCTGGGACTAGATCCAAAGAGTATTAGGCTAATGAGAGGGTTTTTTTCTTGACTTTTCTAGGCTCTTGGTTAGGTTGGGTCAAAATGAGGTTATAGGTTTCTTGGTAGGTTTTTTTTGTAAATGTAATCTTGTCCCCTGGGTAGTGGAAGTTCATTCATATCTGTGGAAGCTATTAGTAGAAGTTGACATGATGTGTAAGATGGGAAGGGAAGAAATCTGTATCTAGTTTGACTTTGGCTTTTCTGCTGTTTGTTTTGATTTTTGTCAGAAACTAATATTAGGGCCAGAAAAGTAAGGAAGGCTGTATGACAAAACACAACTTTCAGAAGGTAATCTCAGTGATGTTGTGCCAGACCCCTATTGTTTGACACTAGTGCTACAGCTGTGGACTTGCAAGACCCGAGGAAGCTGTTGCTTTCCTCTTAGCAGCATCTAATCTGTCTTGAATATGCTGGGTTCTGTAATGTAGCCATGGCTGATCTTGGCTACATGGGTGGAAAAAAAGTGAAAAATAAAGAAATGCTTGTGTAAGGTCTTGAAGTTATCTGATAAGTTTCCGACGGAAAAACAGTAAGAATGGGCCATTGTGTTAAGCAGATTTTTCTTGATCTCTGTTGGCTCACTGAGGACTCCAGCCCTATAATTTAGTCTGCGACAATTAGAACAAGGAAAAATACCACTGAAGATGAGATCAACTTCTGAGATCAGTTACCTGAGTAGTAGTGTTGCCCTAATCAAAAAAATGCATGTATGGCATTATGAGCCAGAGGTCTGTTGGAGGGCGTTTCTCTCCAAAGGCTTTCATGATGGAGAAACCAGGCAGGTTCTGGCCTGGACTTACTCCTTAGAGTAAGATGTTTTCTAATTTTCCATCAATGTAAGGCAAATTCAAGCAGAAGTGTAGTTATTTGTAAATTAAAACTACTCTGAGTAAATTGTTTTAACATTTCTCGTGGCTGGTTGGCTAAAGCAATGAGAGAAAACAGCATTCCTGCGCTGTGCTCCTAATGGGGATGCTGTGTGATTTTAATTAGAGGGAAGTCACAGGCTGAAATCTGAAGCAGTGGTCATGCTGCGGGAATTTTGTAGCTCTCTGTGTACAGGGAAGCGTATTGTTACTGTTGTGACAGCAGCAGAATAAGGCTCAAAGCAAAACAAAGCTACAAAGAAAAAAGATTAAGAGAAGTAGGAAGATTAGGATATAAATATGGAATATGTGATGTCAGAAACAAGCGCTAAATTGTTTTAAATAAAAAATGGAAGAAAAAATTTTAAAAACCCAAAAAAAGTAAAGCAGCTTAAGAAAAATGATTGTTAATGTTGGTGATGGTGTGAGGTTTAGCTGAAACTTTGATTAAAGTTTCTGCTTATAAATTAATTCTGCTTCTACAGCAGATGTGGGTTTCTGTCTTCTACCATTTCTCAAAGTTACATAGGTTTGAATGAAAGTAGGTAAATGTGTCTTATTAATCAGTGCTGCTCAGGTCTCTATTGAATTTCTAGAATGAAATTGAGAAGTAGCCTGTGCTAAATGTTCTTTCAACCTCCTCTGAGTCAGTTGCACCAACTTATTGATGCTTTTATTTAGTGGCATGTGTTTTACAGGATGTTTCACTCTGAATTTAACTCAGTCTGAGAGAATTTAATTTACTTTTGAGAAGCCTGAGGAAAAAAAAGTGGAGGAGAGGAGAAAAAAAAAAGGCGACTGATTAGATGCATATACATGATTTTTCTGATCGCATATATATGAGTGGTGCAGGCCACTATGTTACTCTTCTATCCTAATTGTGCCTGCCACTGTGATATCTGAGACAGTATGGAGTCTGGAAGTCATTTACATGCTATTTTCTCATAGAAATAGAGATTAGCAAACGATCTGTTTTCTGTGTTAGTGTAGTTGTGGTTTATTCTCTTACTGTAACTCATTGTCAGCTGTTCAGAGATGTTTCAGCATCAGACTTGAAGTGTTATTAAATCCACTGCAGCCGGTGCAAAAGTTCACTGACCTTAACTTTTATCACAGATATTTCATTCCCCTAATTTCCTGTAATACCATATTTACTTTCATCTAGGCTAAATACTGAACTGTGTGATGGATTCTAATTCTGGAAACAGCTTGATTGACTATTTCATAGTTATCTTGTTTGATTTCTAAGTGACAGTATTCTCTATATCTAGCATGTACAAAGATCCTGCTTTTTGGGTATGTGTGTACATCCCTTGGTTTTATTGCTACCTTGCTTGTGAGGTTAACTTGCTGTCTGTACCTCTTTTCTTGGGCAGTAAAATTATTTCTTCCCCATCCTAATTGTGAAAATTGTTCTGTATTTGTTTTTTATTTTCCAATCTTGGAAATATCATCACTCCTTTGCTCTGATTAATTTGATTTACTATTAGTAATAAAACTTTATTCTAGTGTTTTAGTATCTGGTAATGTTTCATTTCCCGTAGGCCTAGGTGATGTTTCAAAGCATCATCCAAACCAGGTATGTTTTGTAGGTATTGTTGTACTTTGACATTTAAATGCCATGATTAGGCAACTTGTAGTTTATTTCTCTGTTTTTATTAATTTTTTAATTTAGATATTGTAATTTATATGTACCAGTATCTATTTGTGTTTTACATTTAAAAGTGTTCAGGTCAGAGACTGTCTCTATGTCTTCAGTTTGACAGTTGCCGAGATGATAAATTTTCCATCTACTCCAGTGTTGAAGGCTGTTACCTTAATGCTGACTGTGGATAGCAGTGTGGAAAAACAGCACATAAGTGCTTTGGAAACAGCCAGCTGTCTTGCACTATAAAATTAAAAAGAATGCAGGATTTGCTTAACAAATTTCTTTAACTTAAATTTGTAAAGAGCAGTTCAGCATGCATACTGAGTAAGTTTGCTTTGCCACTTGTGGCAGGAAACTTAATGCATTGGAGTGCCAGTATGGATACTTCTCAGCCACAAAACATCTTTAAAAGTCTTCGTAGTTTCAGGCCTCTTCCATCCATATCTCAGTGTGTGGTAGGAGGGAAGAAGAGAAACAAAAAATGAAAACCTTAAAGGGTCTTTATGAAAGAAATGCACATCCCCCTTGATCTCCCAGACTGGACAGACTTTCTGAGGTTGAGAGGTTTTC